CCGGCCGAGGGCTTTCAGCATGATACCGGCGGAAGCTATGGAAGTAGGCGCCGGTGCCTTGCACTCCCGGCAAACTCCTTCTACCTTCTTCTACCAGCCAGAAGTTGAACCCGCTATGCTAGTGATGCAGCATTCCTAAATTTTCCCGGATTGTATTTCACAATGGACTTCCATTTCGCGGCTTCATCTTCTGACTACATATCGTGCTGTATTTTCTTTTTTACTATCTTTTTTACTATCTTTTTTACTATCAATTGTATACTACTAAGTAGTAGCGCTTGCTAAGAATGTTAAAGACGGACTTAATATTAAAACTCTTTCCAGCATAGAATCCTGCGCGTAGATTCTAAATAATGGATAAATAATTGGAAAACGAATTTCAGTTTAAAGTTTGTGTATTGCGGAGTTCGAATTCTATGTTGCAACTGTAGAGTTGCTGTCACGTGTGACACGGATTTCCTCACCTCCTCAAGCACATCGACAGCGTACGTCGTCGCCTCGCCGCTCTCAGAAACATCGTATACTCACGCATAACGTTTTATAGAAGTCTTACCGGTTTTATTACCACTTAAAATGACCCACGATTCCGTTTGGTTCTCTCACCCCCGCAAGTACGGCAAGGGCTCCCGTCAATGGTGAGATTATGGTATACTCCTGCTTGCCTGGTAGCGTTTCTCAACTACCACTGTGATTTCTAGCCGTCACTGTGCCCACGTCTCTGGTCTCATCCGCAAGTATGGTCTTGACCTCTGCCGTCAGTGCTTCCGCGAGAAGTCCGCTGCCATCGGTTTCGTCAAGGTGAGTTTCTTGCTCAGTAATACACAATTCCTGATCTAATGTATTCTCGCTATAGAACCGGTAAAGAGTTTTGCTGTCGCTGCATATCTTTGGCTTCCGGAGCATCATTTCTCTGCATATGTATTCACCTACCACAAAACTCTCCATGTGCATATGACTATGAACACATGCTATTACCTTCGTTATTGTGTGAGCGCGAAGTATGTCAACAAAGTATTTGTGAAAGTGAATTATTTTGGTGTGTAAATATGGAGCCGATATGCCTCATTTTGATTACAAATATATTCTTCCACACATTTCATCCACGTCTGAGCTTCTTCCCCTACACCGATGCCCGAGCGCAGCCATCTTTTCGGCGTGAATCAGCGGCACCACTCTGCCAGCTGTTAAGTACCAGTGGGGTATCTTCTATTTACGGCTGAGGTTTAATTAGGGCTGATATGCACGTGTAGTCCGTAATTAGCATCGGACACAGGTATAATATCTTGGAGCCTCGCTGCATCAGCGCAGTCCAATAAAGCCCACTATTTGTCTGGCTTGTTTATTATTCTTCTTTCTTTCCCTCTACTTCTTCAGTGCCTTGCAGTGCACCTATCTCTCTCTTACGACAACAGAAGCATTCATTGACCAAGTTCACGAGGTTTCACGACTAATTAGAATGCGTGCTGGTTCAATATTGCAACCTGTCCTTCCATTATTCGTCCTGGTAGTTGTCTGCAACTACTCTAATGCTACATTGCCGGAATGGAATCCGGTACAACCACGACAAGGTCGTCCGGGTCTAATGAGCGATTTACGAACATCGTGGAATGGGCTTCTGGGGTATTCCGCAGCGACACTGCTTCAGGCTAGAGATGCAGATAATTTCCCGAGTTCTGGTTCAGGAGGAGCACGTTGCATTATTACGACAAATCTTGTTGGACCAAAGGCTGCTGCAGGACAACCAGGGTCCGCCGGTCCTGGCAGCAATTCTGGCAGCAGTGCTAACCCGGGATCGAGTACGCAGACGGGAAAGCCATCCGCTCCTTCTTCTGTTCCAGCGGCCAATCTTCCTCCATCGCCATGGAACCTCGTAAAGACACATGTACGTCTAACAATATTGTCATTGCGGTTAGGGGTCTGAAAATGATCATAGGCAGGAGATTCCTTCTTTGATGAGTGGGATTTCTGGACAGATGCCGATCCTACACATGGTTCGTTTTTCTTGACTGATACTGTCATCGGAGTTCTGAAGCTTTTATTCAAGGGAACGTTCAATTCGTGGATGAGAATACTGCTGTGCGTCTTGCTTGCTTGCTTAATTAGAAGTGAACTTCTGGCTGATTAAGGATCCTCATTCATTCAGCGTTCCACAGGCTTAATATCCGTCAATGCAAACGGAACCGTAATGATGAAAGTGGATACGACACCTGTAATCACAAGCCCAAATCGCCAGAGTGTAAGGATAACGACGAATTATCAATACACCGGTGGCATTTTGGTCTTGGACGCCGTTCATGCTCCTACAGGATGCGCCACGTGGCCTGCATTTTGGTCAAATGGCCCAAACTGGCCGAATAACGGAGAGGTCTGTGATCCAGCTAATAGTAGTTGACGTATTTGCTGACGAAGTCCTAGATTGACATTATGGAAGGTGTCAATGACCTCACAGTGAACCAGGCGAGTATACATACGGCTCCTGGCTGCATGATCTCCAATTCGGAAGCCGCGAATGGCGCAACCGGAACTTTGGTCGGGGGGAGCAACTGTGCTAGTGCGGAGAGTAATAACGGTGGCTGCGGACAGCAAGCAACCTCACTTTCTAATACCTACGGCCCACCATTCAACAGTAATGGGGGAGGGGTCTATGCCAGTGAGCCTTCAACTTCATTCTCATTATGCACACCTAATTCGTCCAAGTGGTCTGGGACGACACAGGAATCTCTGTATTTTTCTTTCCGCGGAACAATATACCCGTAGATATCACTGGATTAAAACCTCAACCGCAAAACTGGGGTGTACCTTTTGCTCGCTGGCCTACGACCAACTGCACAACATCCCAGTTCTTCAATGTTCATTCTGCTATTTTCGATACGACTTTATGGTCAGTACATGCTGAAGGTCTCCGGGTTTTATACTAAACATAATCTGCGTTGTAGTGGTGATTGGGCTGGAAACGTTTGGAACACGGCTCAATCTCCAGGCCAAGAGCAGAGCTGCGCTCAGCGAACAGGATTTCAGACATGTGCCCAATTTGTGCAAAATAGTGGGGCATCCTTCGACCAGGCTTGTACGTTCTTATTAGTCCATATCTAAGCGGAAATTTGCTGACAATTTGCTATCAGATTGGGAGGTCAATAGTGTGAGGCTGTATCAAATGAGCAACTGAACGTAATCAATGTATAAAATTATTTTTATGGGATTTATCGCTGTATTTTTGGGATTAGGTTTGTCTCCTTTTATGATTACTATTAGACCAGTCGGATTCCGCGCTTTGCTTTAGAAGTAAATTCGATAATATTGTACACTTGGTCCATAGTATGAGCATTGTATTACAAATTATAGAAGATTAGTTATTGAATTGAAGGGATGGAAGCAAACTATGCAGAAACGTGCAAAAAAATTGAGATTCAAGTTGGACTGAACACGAATCAGTCGTGGCCGTGTTCAAAGCTATTGTAGAATTCACGATAAACGAGCTGTAAATTATTTAGCACGGAAGGCGATTATACTTCACTTTAATGACAGACTCACATCAAGAACCATACTCATAAAAAAGTAGAATAATTCTTTACGACCGACGGTTTTAGCATTACCGGTAGTCCTTTCCTGGTTTAACTGCTCGAAGATAGTTTTGAAGCTCTTGAAGGTCACCCAAACTTCTTGGTCAATAGCAGCGTTGTTGCTTTTGGGATGGTTTCTTTCTGGATCTTGTGAAGTACATTCATTCACGAGTATCTGGCATGTATGCCAATGTGGTAGCGTTGACTAACCTGTAGCCATTATGTTGACGTATAATAGTTGTGGTGTCGAGATAGTTCAATGTGTTGGTGGGGTTGGTAGCATAATCTAAGGACAATGTAATCAATTTATAGGGAAGAGCCCCTTCGTAAGTATTCGGCTCCAGACTTTCGAAGAAAACGTATCTCTCACGCTTCGCCTAAATCCAGATCATTGGACCGGAAGGGAAATTAGGCGGACCCCGAACCACTTCACTTCACAGAAGCTTTTCTTTTTTTTTGTGAAACATAGAAGACGATGTAAATATCATTTTAAAATAGAGATCTAGACCTCTGGTGGAAACAGGGTGCAGGAAGTGGCAAGAAGCAATACAAGGTCCAGGCCAAACATCTACCAGAGTGACCCCAGTGCACGTTTCTATGTAGATCCAGATTCCAGGTATACTTCTACCCTAGATTGCGGTCGGACCATTAGAGAATCCAACCTTGTACAGTCTGTCATAAAAACCCAGCGCCTGTACGCAGGACCTCAGTGTTTTTCTGAGTGAATCCTTGAAGATCTCTCATAAAACAGGTGTTTTCCTTCAATATCTCCATTTTTCATGATTAGGCGCCCGCTGCCAAATCTTTTAAGGTTCCCAAAATTAAAATATTTCATAAAATCTCTTGAAAGCCACCTAGGGTAATTTATCATTGTGTAGAAATCTCTTGAAACAGTATATATGATATTTTTGATGATCCTATGAGGCATATATGAGTTATCTCTTAGTGTGACATGGTGACTTCAAGTGGGACCTGCATTGAGAGATGTATAGCAATCGACTTTCAATACACCTAAGATGCACGTTATAATGCCTATATAATATGTACTGAATATTCCTGGCATTTTTAGTTGCCATATATAGTATATTGAGCGCGCACCCTCCAAATGTTGACAGAAATTTTCGAAAACATTATTATTTTTACTCAAAATGTCCTGCGGACCTTAGAAACATAATTAAAACAATCTATTTTGACTATAAAACACGGTCCTAAATGTGAGTGTTACATGGGAATAAATATACCTGGAAATGTGTTGGGCGCTCGTCGGAATTTCATGCCAGACACTGTAGTCCTTCCAGACTGGATAATTCGGGCTAGACTGCAAAGCTCCTTTTTCACAAAAGCAAAAGTGGTAATGCGCCTTTCCGTTAATTCCTAAAGCATCGTTCGAATTTTGATATCGTACAGGAAAAGAAGAGATTCGTGGGAAAGAAAAATATATTCCCGGGCAGGGATTTAAACCCTGGTCTCGCGCGCCCTTAAGTGATGACGCGCGCGTGTAATAACCGCTATACTAAGCAGAAGTTATTCATTTACACTTGGAGCAAATTTGGTGTGATAATAGGAACAAGCGCAGAGGGGCAGATAACATGTAAGTATGTGGAATATCTAAGGCTCTGCGTCGGCGAAAGACTCTCATGGACTTTGCATCGTTACATCTAAATTTTCTAAAGAATTCTCGCGGATTCTATGCTGTCTTGAGTTTTCTTGTAATCCAGGCCGCATGGGCAGCAATAGATACTCGCTCTCGAAGTTCACTTAACCTCCCACATAATCTAAAAGCCATGCATAATTCATATAACAGCAAGCCAAGTATACTAAAGCATTCATTGTATGAAGTTAAATGAGATACGCCATTACTGCACCTAACGTGCGACCCTAAAATTCATCTGAACCACTACTTCCTACCCTTCTTCTTCACCACCTTAAACGGCAACTCTGCCTGGACAGGTTTCGGCTGCGTCCTCACAACTAAGACAAAGGATTGGATTCGTTTCTAGTCGAAAGCAAAAGAGGTGGCCACTCACCATCGGCAAGCGAAGGCATCCTGGCAATGGCAGTTGGCCCAAGAGACTTCGCTTTCGCCGCATCAGCCTTTCGCCTCTGCGCAAACTCGTTGGCGAAATTCCTTCCGTGCATCGTAGAGCTGTTAACGTATACCGACTCTGAGATAAGTTCGAGGATATGCTCAGGGAAATCCAAGGAGAAGGAGAGAATCATCTGCAAGAACTCGTCCACTGGACATAACTGTTAGTTCACATGTCGACCACAAACCGAAAGATACTCACAGTTGAATCCTGGCTTAAAGTCGCGCATAGTATCGCGCAACCACTTCATAAATTCAGGCGAAGGTGGTGGAGGAGAGCCGTCATCAGGTTGCGAAAGAGGCTGCTTAACAGCAGCGGGAAGCTTCGATACCTGAGGTGCACTAGTCGCGGGCGAAGCGACAGCAGGACGAGCAGTAGCTGTGCCATTGATAGGACGAGCAGCTGGAGGAGTCATAACAGCTGGTGCAGCCGGTGGCGTCGGGCGTACAGGGGTAGCCGACCTTCCTCCTATACCTACAGTTGTCCATGCGCCGCCGGTTAAAATGGGCTGAGCGGGGACATTCTAAACAAAGTACATCAATACACCGCACAATAATGGCCTAATTTTGACTCACCTTGTTTGCAGACTCGGCATAACCCCTTCTAGCTGCGACAGTGGCCATTTCTTTCTCCTTAACCGCTGCCTTCTTCTTGCGCTCCTCCTCCTCTTGAATCTCCTTCATCGTCTTCTTCACAACGACAGGCTTGATTCCATTCGTCCAGACAGGTGCCGGTGTAGCACCAGCAGCGGTAGCAGACACAGGGGTAACAGGTTGCTCTTTGGCCTTTGCCGCTCCTGCCTGAGAGGTAGGCAATCCCCAGGACGCGGTGAACGTCTGGGTCTCCTCTGGAGCCTGGGTAACCGTAGCGCGTGCAGCACGCTCCTTTTCACGTTCCTTCTGCTCAGCGAGCCTACGTGCTTCAGCCTTCTTGGCTTCGGCCTCCTGGATCTCGCGCAAAGTCGGCTTGTTGGTGCTTTCATCGGGAGTGGCCACGCCACCCCAAGCTGGCTTGGCGGGCGTGGGAGCAGGAGCAGTGGGAGATGCCTTGGGAGAAGCTTCAGGTGCAGGTGCAGGACTGGCAGGACTGGCCTTCGCTGGGACGGGAGCTTCAACCTTTGCCTGCTTCTTTGATGTTGGCTGAGGAGCAGGCGGCGAGGGTGTCACTGGAGAAACAGCAGAGGTAGCCTTTGCCTCAACAGGCTTAGGGCTCGCCTCTGGGGGAGTAGTCCAGGCTTTCTTCACCTCAGGAACTGGAGCAGGCTGGAGAGGCTCAGGAGATTCCACCACATGTTCGACTTGCGGCGGCTCAGCCCATGCTGTCGCTTGAGTGATAGCTTGCGAAGCGGGAGGCTCAGTCGTAATAGGAGTAGATACGAGATTACGAGAAGACGGATGAGGGGGGTCAAATGGACGTGGACGAGGCTGAGGCACTTGTGCTTGCTGAGGCGCATCCCAAGGACTACTTACGGGCGTATGCGCCACAGGCTGAGCGTGTTGCAACGCAGGGGATTGGAAGGCGGAGCCTTGTTGTTGTGGGATTTGCTGCTGCTGCTGTACCTGCTGCGGCGCACCGAACCCCTGCCCAGCCTGTCCCATGTTGTTCCCAAATGCACCGACCATGCCAGGTTGCTCATTAAGGCCAGATTGGATGCCATTTTCCATTTCATTACCCAAAGGCCTCATTCCCTGTACGGTACCGAACGCGTCGACCGACTGCAAAGGCTGGAAACCGGCGTTCACATTGGAATAAGCCTCTTGAGCAAACCCATCCTGACTGCTGTATCCTGTATTGCCATACATGCCATTAGTGAGAGGGCCGCGAAGGGTACCAAAGTTATCGTATTCGTGGTTCATGCCGACACCATTACCAGTGCCCCAAGGCGAGGCCGGAGCAGTATTAAAGCCATTGTATCCTTGGTTATCGAATCCGCCACTGGCAGTCCTCAACGCCGCCAACCTCGGAGCATACATTGGAGACTCTCCACCACCGAAACCAAGGTTAGCCGTACGATGTCCCATCGGTGAAGCCTGGGCCTCGTATCCGTTTACACCTGGAGAAAATGGCGCATTCCTATAAGCCAGGTCGGGAGAGGCGGTATGTACACCCAGTATGCCGGTAAAGGGAGAACCAGAAACACTTGTAGGGGTACCGAGGTAGGGATCCAATCCACGACTGGCGAGAGGATGGCGGTATGGTGAGGCGGCGCCGAATTGGTCCGTTATATGCTGAGGTGCACCTGGGAGGCCATGGGCAGGCGAGCCAAAGCGATCGTAGCCATGCATGCCGTCCATGAGGTGCTGGCTAGATTGACGAGAGACAAGACCGGGTGGGGGGCCGCGCTCCAAGAAGGAGCTGTAAAACAACTTTTCGTGATCGGCACGGACGCTGAGTTCACCTACGGGTGTCCAATCCGCGTCGATATGCGTGCGCTTCATAAGCAGGTCTGGCGAGAAGTATCCCTCTTCGTACCATTTCTGCATGACAGACGCGGAGAAGGGTCCTGTTGCACATCTCAAAGTTTGAGCATTGGAAACGAATGTGGAGCAAAGTCCACTACTCACCCTGCACATTACCCTTGGGATCCATATACGACCAATTAATGTTCGCCGGATCCTCTCCCATCCCAGGCGGCCTCGGAGCCTGCTGCGTCTCATTTTTGTAAAGGCCGTCCACCCCACTCTTCACAGGCGTAGGCAGCACACTCGCCCCCACACGCGTCTTATCTTCCTCCAGAACGGATAGCACACTCATCGCAGCCGATAATTCTTCATGGGGGCCTGCTCCAAGGCCAGGATCATCCCCGCGCACAGAGGGCGGGGACGGAGCCATGGACCTTCCTGATACACTCCTAGACGCGTCCGAGTCGTTGAAAGACCCATTGTGATCGCCTGCTGCGTCGCCGCCTCCCTCATCACGTTCTTCGGGAAGCGCGGGCTCGCGTTTTCGCCAGCTGTCGGGCGTCCCGTCGGCCAGGCCGGCAAAGGTGCCGCTCCCCATCCTAGGACGGGGAGAAGGCAGTGCTCCACCGGAGGGAGATAAAGGGGTACCCAAGGGGGAGTTGAGAGAGGTCAAGGATAGCCTGCGAGGGATGGAAAGAGGCACGACATCCGCTGTGTGGAGAATGAGGTATTAGAGAGATATAGGGAGTGAGTGTGCGGGTGTACTTACGTCCTCCTTCTTCCTTTCTCTTCCTCGCGAGCAAGGAATAACGAGGCTGTCCAAGGTTACTTGAAGCTGAATGGGGAAGCTTAGGCCGTTCGGTAGGCAAAAAGTCGGAATGAGATTGTCGGCGACGGAGGTCAGAGTTGAGAGGTAAAGCGAATAACTGTGGGGTGTATGAGATAAGCACGGGATATCTAGACGTTTAGAATAAAGCAGAAACGCGTGTAGTGTGCCCGAAAAATACTGCAAGCCGCGCACGACACCCAACGCGAGTGTCACACATAGTGGCACAAGACGCTCCACTCGCGCAATCCAGCCGACAGAAAACACGAAAAAAAATCCACCATCCCCCCCCAAAAAAAAAACAAAAAAGCAAAGCCCACCCACCTTCTTCTCGCCCTCCGTCATCTCCCTAATGCCCACAGGCTCACCCCCCACCTCTTTCACGACGCCTTCCCACATCTCCACTTCCAGCCCCAGGCCCCCGCGCCCCCCACCCTCCCTCCACACCTGCAGCATCTCCTCCTTCGAATACCTAAACGGGTTCGGGGCCGCCCCACCCGCGACCAGCTGCTGCTCCCGTCCCGCCTGCATCGCGTGGTGGTTCATCTCGGAAGAAAGGAGCGAAGAATACGTCGACGCGCCCGCCCCGCCGCCGCCATTTCCATTCACAGCCTGCGCAGGCACGCCCCCCGCTTTCAGCGTGGCTATCCCCACTCCCCCTACGCCTACGCCTACGCCTGTTCCTCCTCCTGTCCCTATCCCTCCTCCTGCTACGTTATTATTCTGCTTGTTGCGCATCCACTCGGGACCAAACTGCAAGGATGTAGCGGTCATGGTACTGGTGTTAGATATGGGTGATAAAATGGGATTCGTGTGTGGCTTGGTGGCTGATGTGCGGCGCGCGCGGTTGTGGTGGTAAGTATAAGACTCAAGAGTGAGGCGGAAGGAGCCTTTTCGGCACACGGCAGCCCCTGGGGGGTCCATGGACGCCCATGCGCCTTGAGCATTATTCACGCAGGGATTTTTTTCTTATGCTTTTTCCTATGCTTTATGGGAGCAGGGCTTGGGTGGCGGGGTTTTTATATTTTCTTTTGGGTGTGACGTGACGTTTGGAAAACAAACTGGATTGGAATGCCATGTCAGATAGGACCCCGGCGCAAAGAAGATCAGCGACGCGCAAAGGGACTCGCTCCGAATTCGCTGACTTGTTGGATCAGGATGATTTTCGGGATCATCACTTCCACAACAAGGTTTCAATTGAATTCGTT